TTTTACCTTTTCCCACATCTGTAGCAAAGATGAAATGAAAATCACATCAGTCAACACGCAGCCCAATACTGCTCAGAGTGGATGCTCAGAGTGGACACAACTTGTTGGGAAGCCATGAATCATACCTTTATCCATCCATCCATCCACCTACCCACCCATCCATCCGTCCAGGCATCCACCCACCCATTCATACATCCCACCCACCCATCTAGCCACCATCCATCCATCCATCCATTAATCCACTCATCCATCCATCCATCTATGCATCCACCCACCCATCTATCCACCTGTCATCCATCCATCCGTCCATCCATCTACCCATCCATCCACCCACCCACCCACCCACCTATCCACCTATTCATCTATCCATCCATCTACCCACCCCCTCACCCATCCATCCATCTATCCACCCACTCATCCATCCACCTACCCACCCACCTATCCACCTATTCATCCATCCATCCATCCACCCACTCACCCATCCATCCATCTACCCACCCGCTCATCCATCCACCCACCCATCAGTCCACCCACCCACCCATCCATCTAACCACCCACCCGCCCACCCACCCACCTATCCATCCATCCATCCATTCATTCAATGAACACTCACCAGGCCCCTATCATATGCCAGACACTGTGAACAACACAGACAAAAGTCCCAGGCCTCCTGGTACCCTCCCTGTCATGCATAGCTGGGTGGCCCTTTACTGTCCCTGGGCCTTCTTTGCTCTTCCTATGTATAAAACAGGCAATATGTCCTCTGCCTCCCAGAGCTGTGGTGAAAAGCAAGTAAGATAAATTGGAAAAGATAAGTAAATAAAATTACAAAAGAGAGAAAGCCAGGCGTGGTGGCTCATGCCTGTAATCCCAGTGCTTTGGGAAGCTGAGACAGGAGGATTGCTTGAGCCAGGAGTCTGAGGCTACAGTACATTATAATCACACCACCTCACTCCAGCCGAGGCGACAGAGCAAGACCCTGTGTTCCAAACCAAAAAAAAATTTTAATTAAAAAAAAAAAAAAAACAGAAAACCGTCCAGGCATGGTGGCTCATGCCTGTAATTCCAGCACTTTGAGAGGCTGAGGCAGGTGGATCGCTTGAGCTCAGGAGTTTGAGACCAGCCTGGGCAACACAGGGAGATTCTGTCTCTACAAAAAGAAAAAAAATTAGCCAAGAATGGTGGCACATGCCTATAGTCCCAGCTACTTGGGAGTCTGAGGCAGGAGGATCAGGTGAGCCTTGGAGTTTGAGGCTGCAGTGAGCTATGATCCTGTCACTACGCTCCAGCCTGGGCAACAGTGCAAGACTCTATCTATTAAAAAAAAAAAAAAAATTATTTACCTCTTTTCCAAGTCTCACAAGATCCACATGATCTCCCTCTCTCCTCCTCACTCTCCCTGTTCCAGCCCCAGCAGCCTCCTCCACGTCCTCAACTTGCTCTGCATTCTCCCACCACGTGGCCTTTGCTCATGCTGTTCCCTCTGCATGGTATGCTCTTCCCCTCACTTTCTCTCTCCCTTGCTCTTGACCTAACATCTCTCTCCAGTTTAGAACTCAGTGGCTCACACCTATAATTCCAGCACTTCGGGAGGCCAAGGTGGGCAGATCGCTGGAGGTCAGGAGTTCAAGACCAGCCTGGCCAACATGGTGAAACCCCGTCTCTAATAAAAATACCAAAAATTGTCGGGTGCAATGGCTCACGCCTGTAATCCTAGCACTTTGGGAGGCCGAGGTGGGTGGATCACCTGAGGTCAGGAGTTCAAGACCAGCCTGGCCAACATGGTGAAACCCCATCTTTAAAAAAAACAAAACTTAGCCTGGTGTGGTGGCGGGCACCTGTAATCCCAGCTACTCAGGAGGCTGAGGCAGGAAAATCGCTTGAACCCAGGAGGTGGAGGTTGAAGTGCGCCAAGATCGTGCCATTGCACTCCAGTCTGGGCAACACGAGCAAAACTCCGTCTCAAAAAAACAAAAACAAAAACAACCCAGAGGTTTAACTGGGGAGTGAAGCAGATTTCCCACACCTCAGAGTCAGGGACCTGCAGTTTTTCACCAAGTCAAACCCCTGCGGCTGGAAGGAATGGCAGGCAAAAGAAAAGCTACAACCGCAGGGCCAGGGAGTCACTGGAGCATCCACCTTAGGGGAATGGTGGTCTGCAGGAATTGTAGTCCTCCTGCAATTCCTGCTGTCCACCTGGCTGCTGGGCAGGGCCACTCACCGGACTCTCAGTCGCAGGGGGCTCCTCCTTGTTGGGCACCCCTCGCTCCAGGGGAACAGCCAGCACAGCGTGAAGCGGGAGCAGCAGCAGCGGTGGCAACAGAAGGAGGGTTCCTCGAGGCGCAGAGGGAGGCATGGCGGCGTGCTCTATGGGGGATGGAGAGGTGGATAACGCATAATATCTGTTCCAAGCCTCTTCCTCCCCTGGAACCAGGAGTTCGTGCTCCCAGCGCCGCCCCCACTTCCAAGAATCAAGACACAATCATTTCGTTACCCAGGCCCCAGAATTCCAGGCCTCCAGCCTTCCCTACCTCCGACACAGGAGTCCGGACCCTCAGACCCAGGAGTCCCGGCTCCCAACACGCTCCTTCCTCCCTCACACTCAGGAATCCAGGATCTCGGCCTCTTCCTCCCCCAGACCCAAGAGTCCAGGGTCCCAGCCTCCTCTTTTCCCAGGACCTAAAGTATTGGCACCCAGTGCATCCTCCTCCCGGACCCCGTTTTCCAGCCCTCTGGCCCACATCCTCCCTAAAACCCAAGAGTCTGGAACCCTGGCCTCTCACCTCTCCTTCACCGCAGAGGGCGTTTTCCAGGGCGGGCAAGGACCTCCGGTGCGTTCTTGGTGATTTCCCCCTTAGGCCACGCCCACTTTTCAACAAAGGCCCCGCCCCAGAGAGGTCTGATTGGTCTATGCTGGCTCTGTACCTTTCATCCCCGCCCAGCTTCCCCGCCCCTTTCCGAAGTCTCTCGCATTTTCGTGAAAGCTCGCCTCCTTTCTCGGAATCCCAGCCTCTTGACGCCACATTTCCTGCCCATGCAAAAAGAGAGAGGAGGCGTTCCAAAGAGGACTACAACTCCCTGCCGGCAGGGGGAAAAATAACTTCCGCCGGCATCGTGGCCCATTCGCTTCATGGGAGCTGTAGTTTTTCTATGTATTTTCGCCCCACGAAGTGCCTGCAAGTTAAGAGTAGTAGCAATTGCATAGCCTTCCTTACGAATTTCTTTCTTCTTCTTTTTTTTTGAGACAGAGTCTCGCTCTGTCGCCAGGTGCCAGGCTGGAATGCAGTGACGCGATCTCGGCTCACTGCAACCTCCGCCTCCGGGTTTAAGCAATTCTCCTGCCTCAGCCTCCCAAGTAGCTGGGATTACAGGCACACGCCACCGCGCCCAGCTCATTTTTTTTGGTATTTTTAGTAGAGACAGGGTTTCACCATGTTGGCCAGGATGGTCTCGATCTCTTGACCTCGTGATCCGCCCGCCTCGGCCTCCCAAAGTGCTGGAATTACAGGCTTGAGCCACCGCGCCCGGCCGAATTTCTTTCCTATTAGTTTTTGAGGCAGGGTTTGCTCTGTCACCTGGGATGGAGCGCAGTGGCGCTATCACTTCTCACTGCAGCCTCTATCTCCTGGGCCCAAGCAATCCTCCCGCGTCAGCATCTCAAGTAGCTGGGACCACAGGCCACAGTACCGTGCCCGGCTATTTTCTTTTTTTTTTTAATTTTGGGGACCGGGCGCGGAGGTTCACACCTGTAATCCCAGCACGTTGGGAAGCGGAGGCGGGAGGATCACCTGAGGTCAGGAGTTCGAGACCAGCCTGGCCAACATGGAGAAAACCCGTCTCTACTAAAAATACAAAAATTATCCAGGCGTGGTGGAGTGTGCCTGTAATCCCAGCTACTCAGGAGGCTGAGGCAGGAAAATCGCTTGAACATGGGAGGCGGAGGTTACAGACAGCCGAGTTGGCGCCATTGCACTCCAGCCTGGGTGACAAGAGCAAAACTGTCACACACACACAAACATACTCTCTCCCTCTCTCCCTCTCTCTCTCAAAATATTCTAATTTTTACTTCTTTTTAGCCTTTTTTTTAAAAAAACATTCTTGGCCGGGCGCGGTGGCTCAAGCCTGTAATCCCAGCACTTTGGGAGGCCGAGGCGGGTGGATCACGAGGTGAAGAGCTCGAGACCATCCTGGTCAACATGGTGAAACTCCGTCTCTACTAAAAAAAAACGCAAAAAATTAGCTGGGCATGGTGGCGTGTAATTCCAGCTACTCAGGAGGCTGAGGCAGGAGAATTGCTTGAACCCAGGAGGCGGAGGTTGCGGTGAGCCGAAATTGCGCCATTGCACTCCAGCCTGGGTAACAAGAGCGAAACTCCGCCTCAAAAAAAAAAAAAAATTCTTTCACACTTCTCACAATTTTTTTTAAAAGAGATGGATGTCAGGCCGGGCTCGGTGGCTCACGCGGGTAATTCCAGCACTTTGGGAGGCCAAGGCAGGGGGATCACCCCCGCCAAGGGGAGAAGGGTTCAATACCAGCTTGGCCAACACGATGTAACCCAGTCTTTACTAAAAATACAAAAGTTAGCTGGGCGTGGTGGCGCATGCCTGTAATACCAGCTACTAGGGAGTCTGAGGCAGAAGATTCGCTTGAACCTGGGAGGCTGAAGTTGCAGTGAGCAGAGATAGCACCACTGCACTCCAGCCTGGGCGATGTCTTAAAAAAAAAAAAAAAAAGAAAGAAAGAAAAAAAGGGGCCATGTCTCCCTGTGTTGCTTGCTGGTCTGGATCTCCTGGGCTCAAGCAATCTTCCCGCCCCGTCTCTGCCTCCCAGAATGTTGGGATTACAGGCGTGAGCCACTGCTCCCAGCCTTTTATAAGTTTCTTATAAGCGAGATGTGTACAGTGAGGCCACGAGGTCTCTGTCTCTTTAAGGAACATCCACACATCATTCGTGTTCAGAACCCCCAGGGCAGGGTTGCCTGGCTGCATTGGTGACTGAGCTCATTCCTTTGCTGGAGGCAGAGAGCGGAGGGTCCGAAGGGAGTCGACCAAATCAGGTCCCAGGGGGAATCTTCCCTCCCTCTGAGCCCTTTTTCTTCTCCTCCCTACTTCCAAGATATCTCGAGATTAGGTTCCCAGCTTCCAAAGAGAGGATCAGGTATGTTTAGAGGTATGCCAAAGAGGCAAGGTACCGCGGCGTCCATGTGAGCAACCTCTCCAGGCACCTGCTGGGGGAGAAGGAGTCTCTGGGATCCCAAGCAGGTGGACGGTGGAATTCTAGACTACCGGGGGCTGGGTGTTTGAGGCACACATTCCTTAGTGCTGATGCTGGGTGCTGGAGAGTTAGCTATTTGGGAAGAGAGAAGAGAACTTGTGAACCCCTGTGGGAACCTGGAAACAGGCAACTGGATCCCGACAGGAGTGGGTGTTGGGATTCAGGCTTCCTGGGTCCAGGAGCAAATTTAAAGGTAAGGATCAGGCCGGGCGCGGTAGCTCACGCCTGTAATCCCAACACATTGGGAGGCCGAGGCAGGCGGATCACGAGGTCAGGAGATCAAGATCATCCTGGTGGACATGGTGAAACCCCATCTCTACTAAAAATACAAAAATTAGCTGGGCGTGGTGGCACCTGCCTATAATCCCAAGGGACTCCGGAGGCTGAGGCAGGAGAATCGCTTGAACCAGAGAGTCAGAGGTTGCAGTGAGCAAGATCGCTCCACTGCACTCCAGCCTGGCAGCACAGTAAGACCCCAACTAAAAAAAAAAAAAAAAAAAAAAAATTAGCCAGGCATGGTAGCACACACCTGTAGCCCCAGATACTCGGGAGGTTGAGGCAGAAGAATTGCTTGAACCCAGGAGGTGGAGGTTGCAGTGGCCCGAGATGGCGCCACTACACTGCAGCCTTGGAGATGGAGGGAGACTCGGCCATCTCAATAAATAAATAAAGCTAGCTAAGGATTAAGTGTTGGTGGGCAGGATCCATTGGGATGTTGGTTCTGATCCTGACTCCTCATTCTTGCTTCTGCAGAATGTCTCAGGAAAATGACACTTGGAGGAGAGAGTGAGTAGAGAAACAGAGGGGTGGGGTGGAGGTGGAAGGGACTGGGGACCCCATCCATGCACTCAGCTCTGGCCTCATAACCATGTTTACAGGTTCAGTACCATCAGCCTTGCAGGAAGGGGTTGGGGACCTGGACTCCTGTGTCCTAAAGGGAGGGGCTAGGGTGCAGACTTCTGGGTCTGAAAGAGAAGGGGTTGGGGGCCCCAGACTCCTGAGTCCTGAGACAGGAGGGGCCTGGGATCTCTGGGTCCTGGCTTCTGAGGGCCAATGCCAGGAGAAAGGGCTCAATAACTGATAGAAGAGGCTCAGATTCTGCACCTTCTGTGAACTCACCAGGTTACCGATCTCGCGCCGGGCTCTCCCAATGAGACCACGCCCCACCCCGGACCCCTAGACCCCGCCTCCGCAATCCCATGGTTGGGGTGGGGGGGTGGGGTCTTGGTTCTCACAGGCTCCACCCCCGAGCTCTGCCAAGCCCAATTATCACATTCTCTTGCCCCGTTCACCTGCCATGCCCCGCCCCTGCGCTCTCTAGCCCCGCCCGAACCCCTCCCTCACAGGTCCTGGCGCGGAGCCGCCACAATCCAGCGGCCGGGCTGTGCTTGTTTGAGCCTTAGGATGCAGTTTGGGATCTGGGTGAGTCTCAGGGATCTGGGTGGTCCGCGAATCGGGGGTGATTTTTTTGTTTTGTTTTGAGACGGAGTTTCGCTCTTATTACCCAGGCGGGAGTGCGATGGCGTGATCTCGGCTCACCGCAGCCTCCGCCTCCTGGGTTCAAGCAATTCTCCTGCCTGAGCCTCCCGAGTAGCTGGGATTACAGGCACACGCCACCATGCCCAGCTAATTTTTGTATTTTCAGTAGAGATGAGGTTTCACCATGTTGACCAGGATGGTCTCAATCTCTTGACCTCGTGATCCACCCGCCTCGGCCTCCCAGAGTGCTGGAATTACAGGCGTGAGCCACCGCGCCCGGCCCGATTTTTTTTTTTTTTTTTTTGAGACGGAGTTTCGCTCTTGTTACTAACCCAAGCTGCAGTGCAATGGCGCGATGTCGGCTCACTGCAACCTCCGCCTCCTGGGTTCAAGCGATTCTCGTGTCTCAGCCTGCCGAGTAGCTGGGATTACAGGCATGAGCCACCACGCCCAGTTAATTTTATATTTTTAGTAGAGACAGGGTTTCACCATGTTGGTCAGGCTGGTCTCGAACTCCCGATCTCAGGTGATCTGCCCGCCTCGGCCTCCCGAAGTGCTGGGATTACAGACGTGAGCCATTGCGCCCGGCGGGGTTGATATCTGGGAGCCCAGTGACATGGTGGATCTTGGTTGAGGATCGGAATCTGTAGATCGTTTTTGTGGGTTCGCTGCACCTTCTGTCAGGCCGTGGGAACCCTTTCTTCCGTAATAATTTGTCAGAGGCACACCTGCTCTCTGGCATCCACAGTGCCGTGGGCACCGCGAGCCTTGGTGGAGACAGCAGCGGCCAGAGCGGCCCGCTGACACCGCGGACAGAAGCAGGTATTCGCGAGCTCTTGGACCGCCTAGACCCCAGAACTCCGCCCCCACTAGCACCCAGGAGTCTGGGGCCTCACTCTATCTGTCCAAAGCACTCGGGAGCTCTGGACCGCACCCCCTCCTTCCTCATACCAAGTTCAGGTCCTGAGTCGCCGCCTCCTCCAGCACGCAGGGATCCAAGCTTCCCCTCCTTCCTTAGTGTTCTAGGATCTTGGTCTCCAGTCGCCTTCGTTATCCTTGCTCCCAGACAGTTCCGATTCAGAAGTGGAGGAAGTCTCCGTGGAGAATGGTTCTGTCTCTCCCCCACCTTTTAAACCGACTCAAAGAATCCCACGAAGGTGTTGGCAACCCCGCCAACGTCCTGGTAATTTAGGGGACATTGGGGTGAAACCTGGGATCCCTTGGCTCATGGAGCAAATCTCCCCCTTACTTAGGTAGCAGCTTCATTAAGGTACAATTCACATACCATACAAGTCACCCATTTAATGTTTTCAATTCCGGCGGGGCGCGGTGACTCACGACTGTAATCGCAGCACTTTGGGAGGCCAACGCGGGCGGATCACGAGGTCAGGAGTTCGAGATCAGCCTGACCAACATGGTGAAACCCCGTCTCTACTAAAAATACAAAAAATAGTTGGGCGTGGTGGCACGTGCCTGTAGTCCTAGCTACTTGGGAGGCTGAGGCAGGAGAATCGCTTGAACCTGGGAGGCAGAGGTTGCAGTGAGCCGAGATTGCATCACTGCACTCCAGCCTGGCAACAGAGGGAGACTCCGTTTCAAAATAAATGAATAAAGTTTTCAATTCCATGGTTTCTAGTGTATGGTCGCCCCTCGGTATCTGCAGGGGATTGGTTCCAGGAACCCCACAGATACCAAGATCCCCAGATGACCAAGTCCCTTATATAAAATGGAGTAAAATTTGTATATAAACTATGAATATCCTCCCATATACTGTAAGTCATCTCTAGATAACTTATAATGCCTAATACAGTATAAATGCAGTGTAAATAGCTTTTTGGTTTTTTTTTTTTTTTTTTTTTTTTTTGAGAGGGAGTCTCACTCTGTCCCCCAGGCTGGAGTGCAGTGGCACTATCTCAGCTCACTGCAACCTCCACCTCCTGGGTTCAAGAGATTCTCCTGCCTCAGCCTCCCGAGTATCTGGGACTACAGGAGCACACCACCACACCCAGCTAATTTTTGTATTTTTAGTAGAGATGGTATTTCATCATGCTGGTCTTGAACTCCTGATCTCAAAAATTAGCTGGGCGTGGTGACATGCGCCTGTAATCTCGTCTGCTGGTGAGGCTGAGGTGGGAGAATCACTTGAACCCAGGGGGCAGACATTCAACCTGGGAGGCAGAGGTTGCAGTGAGCTGAGATTAGGCCACTGCACTCCAGCCTGGACAACAGAGCAAGACTTCGTCTCAAAAAAAAGAAAAGAAAAGAAAAGAAAAGAAATGGTGCATCAGTTAGCAGTCACCCTCTTTTCCATTTTCCCAAGCCCTTGGCAACCACCAATCTACACCAACCTACATTGTCTTCTTAGATTTGGCTATTCTGTACATTTCACACAAATGAAATCGTACACTATATGGAATCATACACTGTGTGGCTTCTTTCCTTAATTCATTTTTTCATTTTCTTTGAGATGGGGTGTCTCTATGTTGCCTAGACTGGTCTTGAACTCCTGGGCTCAAGTGATCCTACCACCTTGGGTTCCCAAAGTGCTGGAATTACAGGTGTGAGCCACCATGTATCTTTGTTCACCTCATTCACCTATATATGTTTTGTTTTGTTTTGAGATGGAGTCTCACTCTGTCACCCAGGCTGGAGTGCAATGGTGTGATCTTGGCTCACTGCAACCTCTGCCTCCTGGGTTCAAGAGATTCTCCTGCCTCAGCCTCCCAAGTAACTGGAACTACAAACATGCCACCATGCCCTGCTAATTTTTGTATTTTTAGTAGAGACGGGTTTTACTATGTTGGCCAGGTTGGTCTTGAACTCCTGACCTCGTGATCCACTCACCTTGGCCTCCTAAAGTGCTGGGATTACAGGTGTGAGTCACTGCCCCCAGCCCAACTGACAATTTTTTTTGAGGGGGAGCTTTTTTTTTTTTTTTTTTTGAGACAGAGTTTTGCTCTTTTGCTCCAGATGGAGTGAAGTGGTGCAATCTCGGCTCCCTGGGTTCAATCTCCTGCTTCAGCCTCCCAAGTAGCTGGGATTACAGGTGCCTGCCACCATGCCTGGCTATCACCTAACAAATTTTCAAGATTCATCCGTGTGGTAGTATTATCGCTACTTCATTCCTTTTATTCCCTTAAAATATTCCATTGTGGTGACTTTTTTTTTTTTGAGACGGAGTTTTGCTCTTGTTACCCAGGCTGGGGTACAATGGCGTGATCTCGGCTCACTGCAACCTCTGCCTCCTGGATTCAAGCGATTCTCCTGCCTCAGCCTCCCAAGTAGCTGGGACTACAGGCACGCGCCACCATGCCCAGCTAATTTTTTTGTATTTTTAGTAGAGACGGGGTTCCACCATGTTGACCAGGATGGTCTCGATCTCTTGACCTCGTGATCCACCCGCCTCGGCCTCCCAAAGTGCTGGGATTATAGGTGTGAGCCACCGCACTGGGCCTACACATTTTTTTTTTTTTATTCTCATGAGACAGCCAATGATTGCAATGACAGAACTCTTATCACCCCAAACTCCATTCCCCCATCTTAGCTTTTCAGTCTCTGATGCTTTGAGACAAAGACGAGGGGAGACCTTAACCCCTCCCTGTCCATGGGAGAAGCTCTGGCCCTCGTAGACTTCCATGCACCTGGGGGAGGAGGAGGGTGTTGCAAGTGAGGCCACTGAGTAATGAGTAGGGACTGAGAACCCAGGAGTTCTGGCCTTCTCTAGCTAGCACTGATGATGTTGTCCCACACTCCTGGAACCCAGATGCCCTGAGCTTAGTCCCGGCTTCCTTCATCCTTTAGGGACCCATGCAGAGGGTGAGAGTGAATCCCAGGAAGTTGGAGATGCATACAAGGTAGCCAAAATGGGACCAAACCCTGGAATGGATGGTGACCAGGGACATGAAAGCTTGACCTTCCAAAACGTGGGAAGAGGCACAGCACCTCAAGATGTAGGAAGAGGAGGGCTAGCCTCAGACCTCTGGGGAGGGTGGAGCTAAATTCTGCTGCCCAATCAGAAGCTCTTTTTTTTGGTGTTGATTAATCTAGCAGACGTGTGTGTGTGTGTGTGTGTGTGTGTGTGTGTGTGTGTCTGTACCATTCATCAAATTAGAGGATTTGACTTGATATGAGCATGGCCTTTAAAATACAGTCCATGAGACCGGGTGCGGTGGCTCACGCCTGTAATCCCAGCACTTTGGGAGGCCGAGGCGGGAGGATCATGAGGTCAGGAGATGGAGACCATCCTGGCCAACATGGTGAAACCCTGTCTCTACTAAAAATACAAAAATTAGACAGGTGTGGTGGCGTGCGCTTGCGGTCCCAACTACTCGGGAGACTAGGCAGAAGAATTACTTGAACCCAGGAGGCGGAGGTTGCAGTGAGCCAAGATTGCACCACTGCACTCCAGCCTGGCAACAGAGCAAGACTCCGTCTCAAAAAAAGAAAAGAAAAGAAAAAAAAAATACACAGTCCATGGCGGGGTGGCTCACGCCTGTAATCCCAGCACTTTGGGAGGCCAAGGCAGGCCAATCACCTGAGCTCAGGAGTTCGAGACCAGCTTGGCCAACTTGGTGAAGCCTCGTCTCTTACTGAAAATACAAAAATTAGCCTGGCATGGCAGCGCGAGCCTGTAATTCCAGCTACTCGGGAGGCTGAGGCAGGTGAATTGCTTGAACCTGGGAGGCGGAGGTTGCAGTGAGCTGAGATTGAGCCACTGCAATCCAGCCCGGGTGACAGAGACTCCGTCTCAAACAAACAAACAAACAAACAAACAAACAAACAAATAAAAGAGAGAGAAAGATGGAAAGAAAAGAAAACAGAAAGAGAGAAAGAAAAGGGCCAATTGGCACTCACTTTGGCGTTGGTGAAAGTGCAGTATGGTTTCTCTTGGGGAAAGATCTGGCCTGCATTGTGTTATCTAGATGAAACCAACAGCGTTTTAGGAAATGGACCGTGCTTTCAAAGGAATTCTGCAATCGGCAGGTGCAGTGGGTGTGGCTGCCGAGGAAAGCCAATCGACTGGCCAATTAACATTGGAGGGTGTGGCTGGGTGGGCTGGCTGAGCTGTTTGACCAACAAGCAGGAAATGTAGGCGGGAGGGGGCGGGACCGTGGGGCTGGGATGGCCAATCAGTAGTGAGCAAGGCTGCGGGCGCGGTTGTTCCTCGACTTTGAATTTGGTGCCCGGGCTAGGAAGAAGACTTGGAAAAGGAGAGAGAGGAATCGGAATCTACAGGGACGAATTCCTCAGCAGCAATCGACGAAGAGTTGTCCAAGGCCCTTAAAGGCGAGGGCGACTCGGGCGGCGACCATATGAATCGCGAAGACTCCGTTGCAATCAGCTCCCCCTGCCCTCGGCTGGGCGAGGATAAGAAGGCCTACGTGCTGCGGCCGGCGCTCCGGGGCATCAGGATGCAGTGTTACATTAAGCGCGACAACCGCGGTGTGGACAAGTACTTGTTCCCCCTCTACTACCTCTACCTGGAGAACCCCGACGGGCTGAAGGTGCAGTCAGCTGGCCCAGCAGCCTTGGGAGTAAGCCTCACCTCCCAGGGGAAATCCCACTCCTTGATGAGTTAGGTCAAGATCAGCCTAGACAACATGGCAAAACCTAGTCTCCACAAAAAAATCCAAATATTGGTGGGGCATGGTGCTATGCACCTGTAGTCCAAGCTACTTGGGAGGCTGAGGTGAGAGGACTCCTTGAGCCTGGGAGTTCGAGGCCACAGTGATAAGTGATTGTGACATGCACTCCAGCCTGGGCAACAGAGTGAGACTCTGTCAAAAAAAAAAATAATAAAAATATAGACGTGGTAGCTCACGCTTGTAATCCCAGCACATTGGGAGGCCACGGCAGGTGGATCACCTGGACTCAGGAGTTCGAGACCAGACTGACCAACATGGAAAAACCCAGCCTGCACTAAAAATAGAAAAAAAAATTAGCCAGTCATGGTAGTGCATGCCTGTAATCCCAGCTACTTGGGAGGCTGAGGCAGAAGAATCTCTTGATCTCGGGAGGCAGAGTTCACGCCATTGCACTCCAGCCTGGGCAAAAAGAGCGAAACTCTATCTCAAGAAAAAGAAAAAGAAAAAAAAAAGGCCAGGCATGGTGGTTCACGCCTGTAATCTCAGCATTCTGGAGGCAGATCGTTTGAGGTGACAGGTTAGAGATCAGCCTGGGCAGCATGGTGAAACCCTGTCTTTAGAATACAAAATACAAAAAAAAAAAACAAAAAACAAAAAAATTAGCTGGGCGTGGTGGTGCCCACCTGTAGTCCCAGCTACTTGAGAGGCTGAGGTGGGAGTATGGCTTGAGTCCAGGAGGCAGAGATCACACCAGACCTTGTGTCAAAAAAAAAAAAAAAGGAAGTCTGGACCCTCACTGAGCCCTCTTTGCTATCAGCTATCAGGCCTCACCCTATCCTGAGATAATTCCTGCCCCTAGCAACCAGGCCCCTCCCCTCAAGGATTTTCCTATGGAGAACCAAGCCACACCCCTCTCAATCTGGCCTTTACCCTCTAAATATGGCTTCCTCTCCTCTGGGTATCCTTTCTCCCCCCTAGAAAGAGGTTTTTTTCCCCTACTCAGAGCCAAACTCATTTTTCCCAGATGAAATGCCTACCAAAGTCCTGTTGCAATATTCCAAGGAAGGGTGTTCCCCATTCTCCACAGTCAGACCCCTCCCGGGCTCAGCTTCAACCCTGGACTCGCAGGCGGAGGGAAGGAGGGAGAGATGTTAAGACAGGAAGCTTCCATTCAGGACTCAGCTGATGGCTTCCCTCAGTAAGAACCACATTGCCCAGTAAGTCTTGAGAAGCCTGTTGTGCCATCACTGGCTCCTCCATCATGGGACATGGCGTTTCCTTGTCTTTGGACCTCTGGCTCTAGCCAGCTAACAGAAGTCCCCCCCTTTTTTTTTTTTTTTTTTAATTTTTGTTTTGAGATAGAGTCTCGCTCTGTCACTCAGGCTGGAGTGGCTCGATCTCGGCTCACTGCAGCCTCTGCCCCTGGGTTCAAGTAGTTCTCCTGCCTCAGCCTCCCTACTAGCTGGGATTACAGGCACACACTACCATGCTCGGCTTTTTTTTTGTTTTTTTGTAGAGACAGGGTTTCAACATGTTGGCCAGGCTGGTCTTGAACTCCTGACCTCAAGTGATCTGCCCATCTCAGGTCCCAAAGTGCTGAGATTACAGGCATGAGCCACCACGCCTGGCCTCCAGAAGTCCATTCTAATGGGCCATTCCTCTCATCCACAGCGCTTCCTCCTGGCTGGGCGAAAGAGAAGAAGGAGCAAAACTTCTAATTACCTCATTTCCCTGGATCCCACAGACCTATCTCGGGATGGGGACAACTTTGTGGGCAAAGTCAGGTGGGCAGAGCTCTGACATGTCATGAGAAGCAGGTGGCAGAGAGCTTGGGGACAGGGGTACTCCATTTTCCAACAGGACACAGAGCACACTTTCCATCTGCTCAGGGACCAGAAGAACTGAACGCTTTGGAACATAGGCTGGCATTTAAGGCATTTGACTTCTTGGGAGGCAAGGGACTGAGACTTCTAACTTTCTGTGAGAGAAGAGGCCTGGAATGTGTGAGTTCTTGCATCTAAAAGGGAAGAGAGAGGCCAGGCACAGTGGCTCCCATCTGTAATCCCAGCAGTTTGGGAGGCTGAGGTGGGCAAATCACTTGAGGTCAGGAGCTTGAGATCAGCCTGGCCAACATGGTGAAACCCCGTGTCTACTAAAAATGCAAAAATTAGCTGGGCATAGTGTCGGGAGCCTATAATTGCAGCTGATGCAGGAGAATCACTTGAACCTGGGAGGCAGAAGTTCGGTAAGCAGAGATCGAGAGATTGCACTCCAGCCTGGCTGACAAAAAAAAAAGAAAGGAACAGAGCTCTTAAAGGGCCCTTTAAATAAAATAGGGAGGCTAAATAAAATACATGGCTCACCCAAGAAATGGGGACGCTGGGACCATAGATGCCGGGAACATGATGGTTTCATTAATTTAATTTTTTTTTTTTGGAGACGGAGTTTCGCTTTTGTTGCCCAGGCTGGAGTGCAATTGTGCGATCTTGGCTCACTGCAACCTCCACCTCCTGGGTTCAAGTGATTCCCTGCATCAGCCTCCTGAGTAGCTGGGATTACAGGCGTGTGCCACCACACCCAGCTAATTTTGTATTTTTAGTAGAGAAGGGTTTCACCACGTTGGTCAGGCTGGTCTCCTGACCTCAGGTGATCCACCCGCCTCAGCCTCCCTGCTGGGATTACAGGTGTGAGCCACCGTGCCTGGCCTCATTTCTTTATTTCTTTTTACTTATTTATGTATTTATTTAGATACAGGGTTTCATTCTGTCACCCAGGCTGGAGTGCAGTGGCATGATTACAGCTCATTGCTGCCCTGACTTCTCGGGCGCAGGTGATCCTCCCACCACAGCCTCTAGAGGAGCTGGGACCACAGGTGCAAATGGCCACACCCCGCTAATTTTTCTATTTTTTGCAGAGATGGAGTTTTGCCATGTTGCCCAGGTTCAAGCTATCCTCCTGCCTCTGCCTCCCAATTCTTTTTCTTTCTTTCTTTCTTTTTTTGAGACAGTCTCATTCTGTCTTCCAGGCTGGAGTGCAATGGCGAGATCTTGGCTCACCGAAACCTCCACCTCTGGGTTCAAGTGATTCTCCTGCCTCAGCTTCCCCTGCTGGGATTACAGGCACCTGCCACCACACCCAGCTAATTTTTTGTATTTTTAGTAGAGACGGGGTTTCACCATGTTGACCAGGCTGGTCTCGAACTCCTGACCTCAGGTGATCTGCCCACCTCAGCCTCCCAAAGTGCTGGGATTACAGGTGTGAGACACTGTGCCTGGCCTAGGAACAGGATTCTTAGACATTCGGACATAGGCTTTGACATAGGGGATTGCAGGGAAGAGTCAATGTGATGAGTGACACTCAAAGAGTGACATTATTTTAATTCTATCCATTCCCTTCCTGGAGCAGATCCAATGCCTTGGGCACCAAGTTCAGCATCTTTGACAACGGGGTGAATCCTGACCGGGAGCATTTAATCAGGGATACTGCCCGGATCAGACGGGAGCTGGGGGCTGTGTGTTATGTGAGTGTCCTGGGTACAAAAGAAAGGGGTAGAATGGTGGGAAGAAGGAACCAGACCAACTGGAATATAATATACCCAGGAGACCAATGCCTTGGGATTCCTGGGACCTCGGGAAATGACTGTGGTTCTCCCAGAAACCGACAGCGAGAACCAGATCATCACTGTCCAGCCACTAACAGTGAGTCTCCAACGTTGGGAATCTCTGGGTCAATGGAGGAGAAGGGGCTGGGGCGGGTTCTCCTAGATTCCAGAGGTGGAGGAAGAAGAGGCCACTGGGTTGCATGTCTCAGATGAAGGCTGAAGGACTTAGACTTCCGTATCTCAGGGAGTAAAGACTAGAGACTCAAAACGTTTGCACCCAGAGAAAAAGGGATTCATGGTACGTTAACAAACTGTTACCACCAAGGGGTCTGATCCAGACTCCATGAGAGGGTTCTGGGATCTCAAGCAAGAAAGAATTTGAGGCCAGTCCACAGATTCAAGTGAAAGCAAGTTTATTAGAGAAGAAACAAAAGAGGCCAGGCACGGTGGCTCATGCCTGTAATCCCAGTGCTTTGGGAGGCAGAGGTGGACGGATCACTTGAAGTCGGAAGTTCGAGACCAGCCTGACCAACATGGAGAAACCCCATCTCTACTAAAAATACAAAATGAGCTGGCCATTGTGGCACATGCCTGTAATCCCAGCTACTTGGGAGGCTGAGGCAGGAGAATCGTTTGACCCTGGAGATGGAGGTTGTGGTGAGCTGAGATCACACCATTGCACTCCAGCCTGGGCAACAAGATGAAACTCTGTCTAAAAAAAAGAGACAGAAACAGAAGAATGGGTACTTCATAGGCAGAGCAGCCTTGAGAGCTGTTATTGGGCAATTTTTGTAGTTATTTCTTTATTATATGCTAAATAAGAGGTGGATTATTCATGAGTTTTCTGAGAAAAGGGTGAGCAATTCCTGGAACTGAGGGTTCCTCCCTGTTTTAGACTATATCTTTTTTTTTTTTTTTTGAGACAAACTTTTACTCTGTCGCACAGGCAAGAGTGCAGTGGTGCAATCTTGGCTCACTGCAACCTCTGCCTCCTGGGTTCAAGTGATTCTCATGCCTCGGCCTCTGGAGTAGCTGAGATAACAGGCACACACCCCCATGCTCGCTAATTTTTGTATTTTTAGTAGAGGAGGGGGTTTCACCATGTTGTCCAGGCTGGTCTCAAACTCCTGACCTCAGGTGAATCACCTGCCTCAGCATCCCAAAGTGCTGTAACTACAGGTGTGAGCCACAGCACCCAGCCTACACAGGGTAACTTCTTGAGGTTGCCACGGTCTTTGTGAACTGTCACGGTGCTGGTGGGAATGTCTTTTAGCATGCTAATTTTTTTTTTTTTTTTTTTAGATGGAGTTTTGCTCTTGTTACCCAGGCTGGAGTACAATGGTGTGATCTCGGCTCACCACAACCTCTGCCTCCTGGGTTCAGGCAATTCTCCTGCCTCAGCCTCCTGAGTAGCTGGGATTACAGGCACGCGCCACTATGCCCAGCTAATTTTTTGTATTTTTAGTAGAGACGGGATTTCACCATGTTGACCAGGATGGTCTTGATCTCCTGACCTTGTGATCCACCCACCTCGGTCTCCCAAAGTGCTGGGATTACAGGCTTGAGCCACCGCGCCCGGCTTGCTAATGTTTTGTTTTTTTTTTTTTGAGACAGAGTGTCACTCTTGTTGCTCAGGCTGGAGAGCAATGGTGCCATCTCAGTTCCCCAAAACCTCCACCTCCTGGGTTCAAATGATTCTCCTGCCTCAGCCTCTCGAGTAGCTGGGATTACAGGCATGCACCACCACGCCCGGCTAAGTGTGTATTTTTAGAAGAGACCAGGTTTCTCCAACTTGGTCAGGCTGGTCTTGAACTCCCAACCTCAAGTGATCTGCCCACCTTGGCCTCCCGAACTGCTGGGATTACAGGCGTGAGCCACCATGCCTGGCCTGAGCATGCTAATGTATTATAATTAGTGTATGATGAGCAGTGAGGACGACGACCAGGGTCACTTTGATCACCATCTTGGTTTTGGTGCGTTTTGGCCAGCTTCTTTACTGGCTGTTTTATCAGCAGTGTTTTTATGACCTGTATCTTGTGGTACCAGTCCTGTCAAACTCCTGTCTCATCCTGTGACTAAGAATGCCTACCCTCCTGGGAATGCAGCCCATCAGGTCTCAATTTCATTTTGCTCAGCCCCTGTTCAAGATGGAGTCGCTCTGGTTCGAAAACGTCTGACAAAACCACAGCCCCTTCTTTACCTTCCAGGAACAGGAGTTGCTACTGAGTCGCATCCAACGTGGAGACAACCAAGGGTTGCTTGTGCTGCACAACAAAACCCCATTGTGGAACCACGAGAAAGGTGTCTTCATGCTCAATTTCCATGATCGAGTTACTATGACTTCTGTCAAGAACTTCCAGATCATGCATCCCAAAGACCGTGAGCTCCTGGAAACCAGTTTACCTGGCCCTGGTGGGGTGGGGTTAGGGCGTGAATGGAAGAGAACTACATTTCCCATCATCACTTGAGCGCTTTTCTAGGCAGGAAGACGCCACGCTGTCGCAAAGCCTCTTGGGAATTGTAGTTTACACAGCCCTCAGGCTTTCTGGTTTAGTAAAGGCCTCCTCTCAGCCTTTTGAAAGTCTCAGTTCTTGGCCTAGTGCGGTGGCTCATGCCTGTAATCCCAGCACTTTGGGAGGCCGAGGCGGGTGGATTACGAGGTCAGGAGTTCGAGAACAGCCTGGCCAATATAGTGAAACCCCCGTCTCTACTAAAAATACAAAAATTAGGTGAGTGTGGTGGCATGCGCCTGTAATCCCAGCTGCTTGGGAGGCTGAGGCAGGAGAATCGCTTGAACCCAGCAGACAGAGGTTGCAGTGAGCCTTGATGGTGCCACTGTACTCCAGCCTGGGTGACAGAGCAAGACTCCATCTCAAAAAAAAAAAAAAAAAGTTTCAGTTCTCTGCTAGGTGTGGTGGTTCATGCCTGTAATTCTAGCACTTTGGGAGGCTGAGGCAGGTGAATCACCTGCCAAGACCAGCCTGGCCAACATGGTGAAATCCTGTTTCTACTAAAAATACAAAAATTAGCTGGTTGTGGTGGAACACGCCTGTAATCCCAGCTACTTGGGAGCCTGAGGCAGGAGAATTGCTTGAACCTGGGAGGTGGAGGTTGCAGTTAGCCAGCCTGGATGTCTCACTTCTCGAAGGTGGGAGATGAGAGAGTCTGGCTAAGGCTTCCTTCCTGATTTCCTTCTCAGCGGAACGTCTGGTGCTCCAGTTCGGCCGCGTGGCCCCAGACAAATTCACCATGGACTTCTGCTTCCCACTTAGCCCGCTCCAGGCCTTCGCCATATGTTTGTCCAGTTTCAGTGTGAAGCTGGCCATTGAGTAGCAAAATAAAATACCGTATAAAATACCATACCCTTACCAGCTTCTGTGCCTCTTCATTTGGAGGAAGAGCCTTCTTTAGCACCACCCTTAATAATAACCAACACTGGCCAGACGCAGTGGCTCATACCTGTAATCCTAGCACTTTGGGACGCAGAGGTGGGCGGACAGATCACCTGAGGTCAGGAGTTGAAACCAGCCTGTCCAGCCGGGCGCTGTGGCTCACGCCTGTAATCCCAGCACTTTGGGAGGCCGAGGCGGGTGAATCACAAGGTCAAGAGATCGAGACCATCCTGGTCAACATGGTGAAATCCCGTCTCTACTAAAAATGCAAAAAATTAGCTGGGCATGGTGGTGCATGCCTATAGTCCCAGCTACTTGGGAGGCTGAGGAGGAGAATTGCCTGAACCCAGGAGGCGGAGGTTGCGGTGAGCCAAGATCGCACCATTGCACTCCAGCCTGGGTAACAAGAGCGAAACTCCACCTCAAAAAAAAAAAAAAAAATCGTAACAGTGAGAACATTATGACAGTGAAGGAGACCTGCTCGAACCAACCCCATGCTGCCTGTAATCTCCAAACTGCCTTTCATCACTCCTGGGCTAAGACCAAGCTAACTGTGGGAGACATTTCATTTATAGGTGTTGGCCCAGCAAGGTGGCTCACGCCTGTAATCCCAGCACTTTGAGAGGCTCAGGCGGGCGGATGACAAGGTCAGGAGTTCGAGACCACCCTGGCCAATATGGTGAAACTTCATCTGTACTAAAAATACGAAAAATTAATAATAATAATAATGGTGTCAGGCATGGTGGTGCATGCCTGTAGTCCCAGCTACTCGGGAGGCTGAGGCAGGAGAATTGCTTGAACCGGGGAGGCGGAGTTTGCAGTGGGCTGAGATCACTTCACTGCACTTACAACCTAGGTGACAGAGCGAGACTCTGTCTCAAAAAAAAAAATTTATAGGTGTTCTTTTTTTTGAGATGGAGTCTTGGTCCATCTCGCTGGCTCAAGGAATTCTCCTGCTTCAGCCTCCTGGATAGCTGGAATTACAGGCGTGAACCACCAGACCAATCTATTTTTTAAAAACTTTTAGTAGAGTTGGGATTTCACCATTTTGGCCAGGCTCGTCTCAAACTCCTGACCTCAAGTGATCCGTCCACCTTTGCCTCCCAAAGTGCTGGGATTACAGGCACGGGCCACCATGCCCAGGCCTCTAGTTTCTAGTTTAAATGAGAATAACCCTTCCCAAAACTAAGCTGCTTTTGTAAAGCTAATGAAAGACCATCAGGTTAGGAGGATGAGAGGAGCCTGAATTCTGCAAGGTCTAGAGGTAGATTAATACAAAAATTAGCCATGCGTGGTAGGGCATGGCATGCCTGTAATCTTGGGTACTAGGGAGGCTGAGGCAGGAGAATTGCTTGAATTCCGGGTTGCAGTGAGCCGATATCGCACCACTGCACTCCAGCCTGGCGACACAGCAAGACTTGGCCTCAATAACAACAAAAAAGTAAAAATGAGAGGTAGAGGCTGGGTGCAGTAGTGCAGGCCCATGCCTGTAATCCCAGCACTTTCGGAGGCTGAGGTGGGTGGATCACGAGGTCAAGAGTTTGAGACCAGCCTGGTCAACATAGTGAAACCCCGTCGCTACTAAAAATACCAAGAAAATTAGCTGGGTATGGTGGTGCGCCCCTGCAGTCCCTGCTACTCAGGAGGCTGAGGCAGGAGATTCACTTGAACCCCAGGGGGTGGAGGTTGCAGCGAGCCGAGATCAAGCCACTGAATACCAGCCCGGATGACAAATAAAAAACAGTAAAAAAAAAAATTGGAGGTAGATGACTAGTCATTATTCTAGAGGTCACAAGATATGCAATTTCCCCAATTACTTCTGCAGATAACATCACTAATGTTAGAAACAGATGCTCGGTGCTGCAAAGAAAAGTTATCAGAGACAAAGGATCTTTCAGCAACACAAATTTTACCTCCTGAACTGCAGGAAGGGGACCCTCACTAGCCATCTTGCCACAAGAGTATAATGAGCAAATGGAAAGCAAATTGACCCCTTACGAGTCTGGGGTCGTCCTTACTGCTGTGTCTGATCTCCATTGGTTGGAGCCAGACTTCACAATTTAAACTAAAACCCGATTTTAAGGCTAACACCTTAAAACTTTTTCAAAAGGGAAAAGCAATGGAGAGCTGGGACATGCCTGTGAGCACGTCCAGCACAGATATCCTGGTTAAAGTACAAGGACATAGAATGTACTACGTGCCTGTAAGCGTGGCATGTCTGACAGCTACATAGGATAGGGCTTAACAAAGTTATTAGCACACTTATTCTTTTCCTTTTATTTTTTTAAAGTTGGGGTTTCACCATCATGGCCAGACTGGTTTTGAACTCCTGACCTCAGGTTATCCACCCACCTCGACCTCCCAAAGTGCTAGGATTACAGGCGTGAGCTACCATGCCCGGCTAGCACACTTACTTTTTTAAAGAGAACTTTATTTAAAGAGGAACTTTTCTACTTCCCACAGTAAACCTAAGATCAGTAGTGATGGGGTTTCTCCATGTTGACCAGGCTGGTCTCGAACTCCCGACCTCAGGCAATCCACCTGCCTCAGCCTCCCAAAGTACTGGGATTACAGGTGTGAGCCACCCCACCTGGCCTGAGGTGCTTTGTTTTATGCTCTTCTCCCCAGCTACCTTGGGGACCTGTAAGTAGGATGCTATCAGTTTCTGACACACACACAGATACTGCTTGCTACAAATCAAAAGGCTTTATTCCTTATATAAACCCACACTTAGAAAAAATAAATAGTTAAATTATAGGCAAACCAGTTGGTCTTAGCCACGCCTCCCACTGAGGTCCAGGGGAGCTAGACAGGAGGGGGAGGGTGTGGCCACAGCTTGGCTCAAGGGCGTGGCCTGAACTGGGGATGAAGGGACCGAGGAGGAAGGCAAGGTCTCGGTGAGGGCAGGGATGGGGGCTAAAGGTGGGTTCCTGAGGCGTGCCCAGGCTCTGGCCCGGGCAGCAGGGGTGAGGCAGGGGCTCAGCAACTCCTGGGCCTGGGCAATGCGGCGTGCAAAGCGGCTGCGATCCCGGGCAAGCTGTTCCCAGGGGCCCCGGCGGGCGGCGTGGGCAGGCCCTGCCCAGACAGCCAGCAGATGGACGGTGACCTTCTCAGAGAAGCGTACCTGGGGGCAGACATGGGGACACAGAGAGGAAATGCACACAGCCATGGGAATCCGGATGGTGAGGGCGGGGAAGAGAGAGAAGCAAACAAAAATTAATTACACAAAAATGCTCTCTATCTGGCTAGTCACATCCCTGTCACTGTCACAGGAGTCTCCGTCTGACTCACTGAAGGCAGAGGTGGTTTCCTGGGGCTGCCATGAGCCACAGCTGCTTCTTCCTCCCCCAGGGGCCTGCCCTCTTACAAGGGATTGCATGACAGCATACACAGCCCTCCCTATGGAGGTTACATGCAACCCTCTGCAACTACAGGGACCCAGGAGTCAGCCTCCAGCCCCGCTTCTCTCTAAGACTCAAGAATCTGGGCTCTCAGCACCCACCTTTCTGGCCTTTAAGGGAGTCTCAGGGTCCGGATCTCGGGTCGGTGATTCTGGGTGCTTGAGCCGCCTCTGCAGTCGGTGGGGTAGCCCAGGAAGAGCCCAGGGAGGCGGTGACTTCTCTCCGGGTACATAGATGGCCACTCGGAAGGGGCAGGGCTCAGCTTCTCCCCAGTACTCAGTAGCTTCCTCTTCCTCTGTCTCCTTCCCAGGTTGATATACCCAGTCTCTGAAGCGGGCACTCTGGGCTGGGTGGGATGGATGTGGGTTTGACTCAGTTTCTCCCACAGCTGCTTCTGAATCATCTTCCTTATCCTCACTGTCCTCATCCTCATCTTCCTCCTCTGTGTTCTCTCCTGGCCGATACACCCAGGACTTCAGGAAGGCACTTGCAGGGGGTGTGGAAGCGGAAGTCTCAGCTTCTCCCTCATCCTCATCTTCCTCCTCTGTGTCCTCTCCTGGCCGATACACCCAGGACTTCAGGAAGGCACTTGCAGGGGGTGTGGAAGCAGAATTCTCAGCTTCTCCCTCATCCTCATCTTCCTCTTCTGTGTCCTCTCCTGGCTGATACACCCAGGACTTCAGGAAGGCACTTGCAGGGGGTGTGGAAGCGGAATTCTCAGCTTCTCCCTCATCCTCATCTTCCTCTTCTGTGTCCTCTCCTGGCTGATACACCCAGGACTTCAGGAAGGCACTTGCAGGGGGTGTGGAAGCGGAATTCTCAGCTTCTCCCTCGTCCTCAGCTGATCCCGTATCACTGTCCTCATCTTCCTCCTCTGTGTCCTCTTCTGGCTGAAACACCCAGGACTTCAAGAAGGTACCTGTAGCAGGAGTGGAAGAGGAACCCTCAGCTCCTCCCTCTTCATCTGATCCAGAGTCACTGTCCTTATCTTCTTCCTCACCTTCCTCTTCCTCTGTGTCCTCTCCTGGCCCATACACCCAGACCTTCAAGAAAGCACTTGAAGGGGATGTGGAAGCGGAAGTCTCAGCTTCTCCCCTGTCCTCAGCTGATCCCGTATCACTGTCCTCATCTTCCGCCTTCTCTTCCTCTTCCTCTGTGTCCTCTCCTGGCTGATATACCCAGGCCTTCGGGAAGGCACTTGTGGCAGGGATGCAGGGAGGATCAGCTCCTCCATCCTTCTCAGCTGCCCCCAAAGCCTTAACCTCACCTTCCTCTTCATCAGTGGGTTGGCACGGCCAAGCCCTGAGCTGGGGCCTCTGAGCTGGGGCTGAGGAGTGTGGCCCTGGGGCAGCTTTTCCTTTCCCAGCTCCTTCGTGTGCCTTTTCCTTCTCCTCGGATGTCTCTCCTGAATGATACTCCCAGGCCGTGGGGTTAGAGCCTGAAGATGGGGGTGACACGGGGGTCTTCCTGGCTCCTTGACTTTTTTCTGTTCTTCCGTCGTCCTCCGTGGCTTGATTCTCTTCTTCCCCTGGGCAAGACACCCAAGCGCTGGGCTTGGATCCTGGAGACAGGGCAGTAGAGGCTCTGCAAGCTTCTTCGTCCTCCTCCTCTACTGCTGAACACTCCCGGTGTGACGGAGGATAAGAGAAACTGTTGACTCCCTCATCTTCAGCAACTCCCTCTTCCTCGGCTTTCTCCTCCCCTGGGTTCTTATCGGAACCTTGCAGGGTCCTTATCAGGAGGCTGGGAGACAGGGGAGCACGCTGGCCATCTGCTAATTGACTTCCCTGCCCTCTAGGGACACTGGTTGCTTCTCGCTCACTATACTTGTCATCGTCATCATCTGAAAGTCCCCAGGCTTCAGGAAGGGAAGTGCTGGTTTTCAGGCCCATCGCTTCTCTGTCCCCTTCAGGGCCTCCACTGTCTTCAGCCTCCTCTTCAGAGTATCTGTCCCAAAGGGTAGCGGGGGTTGTCAGAGGAGTCTCAGCTTCTCCCTCCAGGCCAGCTTCTGCTCCCTTGACTGCTTCTACCAGCCAGGGCTCTGGAGGTCCCGGGCCCCTCAGGCGGCTCCAGGCCCAGCTGAGGAAGCCCATCAGTGGGGACAGGAGGAAGAAAGGATGGGCATCCCTCCAGCCGGCAGCCTGATGGGGTGCTTGGCCTGGGGCCATGTGTCTGGGCTGGAAAAGGGGGAGGAAAAAAATAAAGTTTAGGGGCCATTAAGGAGATGGCATTCGGGCATGACTATGAGTCACAGCAACAAAAATAGTAACACAACTATCATAAACAGCACCGTGAGCCTCTGCCCCAAATTCCTTTCTGATCTCAGCCACTCCCCTCTCTGTCCCTTGGCTCCATTCTCTCTCATCACTCAAGAGCCAGGAATCTGAGCCCCTAGTTCTTCCTTAGATCCAAGGGTCCAAGCCCCCAGCCTCCTCTTTGCTCAGATGCAGAAATCCCAGTCCCAAGAACAAGTCTTTTACTTGCTTCCCTTGCGGACAAGGTCATAGACCCTAGCTCACTCATCCTGCTGAAGATTGACAAGTCAAACCCCCGCACCCTCCTCTCTTGGAGACTCAAATATTCTGACCCGACCCACCCACTTGCCAGACGATTCCTTCAAGAGGAACCCAAGAATCTGGCTTCCAGATCCCTCCTCCCTCAGACTCAGGACTCCAGGCTCCCAACCCCTTCTCCTCCTTAAATCCGTGCCCCCAGCCCCGTGGAGACCCAGGCGTTTCGACCCCTTACTCACCGGCTGGGGACTGCGCGTCACCCCGGGGGTAGGAGGGCCGGCTCGGGCTGCCAGAAGCGATCCCAGGTCCGGACGGCTAGGAAGGCCAGCGCGTTCATCTCACCCTCAGAGGTTGGGGTCCAGGAACACAGAATATCTATGGCTGCCTCAAGCGCGGGGGCGACAAGCGGGCGCAGGGTCGTGCGACTTCTCGCACGTGAACAACAACTAGGGTAGGAACCAACACAATGAACGCGAAAAGCGTCCGCGAAGATTTTATAGTCTACCGCGCCCCGACGTGTGACGTCACGGGGAGAGGCGGGGTTTCGAGAGCACACCCCGAAGGGTGGGAAGTGAAAGTAAGACAGGACTTCTCGCGGAGATTCCAACTTTGTGACGTCACGGCGGAGTTTCCGATCGTGACCACGCCTCCCAAATAAGCGAACTGTCAATCAAATGCATGGTCCTGCTTCAGCAGCGGGCCAGTTCTCTTAGCTCAGGGCAGATGCCTTCCCACCTCAATTTATTTATCTATTTATTAATTATTTTTTTGAGACGGGATTTTTTTCAACATGTTGGCCAAGCTGGTCTTGAACTCCTGATCTCAGGAGATCCGCGCCCCCTCCCCCCCCCGCCTCGACCTCCCAAAGTGCTAGGATTACAGGCGTGAGTCACCACTCCAGGCCTAATTATTTATTTACTATTATTATTTTTTGAGGCGAAGTCTCTGTCACCCAGGCTGCAGTGCAATGTCGCGATCTCGGCTCACTGCAACTTCCGCCTCCCAGGTTCAAGCCGTTCTCCGGCCTCAGCATCCCAAGAAGCTGGGGTTACAGGCATGTACCACGACGCCCAGCTAATTTTTTTTTTTTTTTTTGACAAGAGTTTCGCTCTTGTTTCCCAGGCTGGAGTGCAATGGCGCGATCTCGGCTCACCGCAACCTCTGCCTCCTGGGTTCAAGCAATTCTCCTGCCTCAACCTCCCGAGTAGCTGAGCTGGGACTACAGGCGCGCACCACCATGCCCACCTAATTTTTGTATTTTTAGTAGAGACGGGGTTTCACCTTGTTGACCAGGATGGTCTCGATCTCTTGACCTTGTGATCCACCCGCCTCAGCCTCCCAAAATGCTGGGATTACAGGCTTGAGCCACCGCGCCCGGGCTTTTTTTTTTTTTTTTGAGATGGAGTTTCGCTCTTGTTGCCCAGGCTGGAGTGCAATGGCGAAATCTCGGCTCACTGAAACCTCTGCAATTCTCCCAGGTTCAAGCGAGTCTCCTGCCTCAGCCTCCAGCGTGGCTGGGATTACAGGCATGCACTACAACGCCTGGCTAATTTTGTATTTTTAGTAGAGACGAGGTTTCTCCATGCTGGTAAGGCTGGTCTTGAACTCCCAACCTCAGGTGATCTGCCTGCCTCGGCCTCCCAAAGTACTGGGATTGCTGGTGTGAGCCACCTCATCCACCCAGTTTTTGGTATTTTTAATAGAGACGGGTTTCACCCATGTTGCCCAGGCTGGTCTTGAACTCTCGACCTCAGGTGATCCACCTGCCTTGGCTTCCCAAAGTACTAGGATTACAGACATGAGCCATCATGCCTGGCCTATTTATTTATTTTTTGAGAGGGAGTGTTGCTCTCTCACCCAGGCTGGAGTTGGAGTTCATTATCACCATCTCAGCTCACTACAACCTCAACCTCCGGGTTTCCAGTGATTCTCCTGCCTCAGCCTCTCGAGTAGCTGGGATTACAGGCATGGGCCACAATGCCCGGCTACTTTTTTAATTTTTAGTAGAGACAGCGTTTCACCATGTTGACCAGGCTGGTCTTAAACTCCTGACCTCAGGTGATCTGCCCCCCTTGGTTTCCCAAGGTGCTGGGATTACAGGTGTGAGCCACTGGGCCCAGTCTCCCACCCCAATTTGGCCAGCAGGCCCCACCTAGAGTCTCCTATTTTCACATCCGGTCAGTTTCCTCTCCGAGTGTGAGGGTGTCATTGTTCCCATTTCACAGATGGGGAAACAGGCTTGGAAATGAAGCCAGTTGACCAAGACGGTCCACAGCAGGGTCCAGATTCCTTGCAAATGGGAACAAAGATGTAAGCACTATGAGATCAGGCACTTTGCAGGTCACACTGCTTTTCTTTTTTTTTTAGTTAATTAATTTTTTCAATAGAGACAGGGTCTTCCTATGATGCCCAGGCTGGTCTTGAACTCCTGGTCTCAAGTGATCCTCCTGCCTTGGCCTCCCAAACTACTGGGATTACAGGCATGAGCCACTGCACCTGACCAGGGCTCAGTGCTTTCTTCCCAATGGCTGCAACAATGCCTGCACACAGTAGGTACTCAACAGATGTATGGGGAATGGCGGCTAAAGCAACAGCTCTAATTCCTTCCTGGTCACTGGCACAAGGCTCCACTCCCGGGTTTCATCTGCTTCAGACTTGGGCAGTAGTTCTCCCTCCACAAACCACAGTTCTGCCTGGGCAGCACTCTCCGTGTGATTTGGGGGCTTCTGCTACAAATTCCAGGCTCTCCTCCCAGCTCTGCTCCCCTACGGATGCATAATCTTGTTTTTGTTTTTTTTTTTTTGAGTCGGAGTTTTCGCTGTTGTTACCCAGGCTGGAGTGCAATGGCGCAATCTCGGCTCACTGCAGCCTCGGCCTCCTGGGTTCAAGCAATTCTCCTGCCTCAGCCTCCCTAGTAGCTGGGACTATAGGTGCGCACCACCATGCCCAGATAATTTTTTGTATTTTTAGTAGAGACGGGGTTTCACCATGTTGACCAGGATGATCTCGATCTCTTGACCTCGTGATCCACCCACCTCGGCCTCCCAAAGTGCTGTGATTACAGGCTTGAGCCACCGCACCAGGCCTAATCTTGTTTTTTTTTTTCTTTTGAGACAGAGTCTCGCTCTGTCACCCAGGCAGGAGTGTAGTGGTGTGATCTCGGCTCACTGCAGCCTCTGCCTCCTGGGTTCAAGCGATTCTCCTGCCTCAGACTCTCGAGTAGCTGGGATTACAGGCACCTACCACCACACCTGGCTTTGTATTTTTAGTAGAGACGGGGTTTCGCCATGTTGGCCAGGCTGGTCTTGAACTCCTGACCTCAGGCGATCCACCCGCTTCGGCCTCCCAAAGTGCTGGGATTACAGGTGTGAGCCTCGGCACCCAGCCTAGGTGCATAATCTTGTTCCTCAAAATATACTAAGGAACCACGTCTCCCTCCTGAGGGAGTTGTCCTCAGTCTAGAAGAGAACTGTCACCTGGATTTGAGGTGCAGATTTGGAACTCTCCTTTTCACCCTGCCCTACTGGGACCACCCCGTTTTCTCCCTAGAGGACCTGGAAAAACCATCCCTGGTCCCATCCAATCACAGCCACGCTTCCAGACCCCCAGCTCATTCACAACTCAGGAGTTCTGACTCCTCCTCGGACCTTCTCAGGCACCCAGGAGACTGGATCCCTAACCCAGACGCTCCAGGGCTTTGGAAGTCTGAGTCCCCACCCCTTGCAAGACACAAGCGCCCTCCCTTTAGGACACCAGCGGCCCAGGCCCCCAACCACAGCAAACCCACAGGGGCCAAGGAGTGCAGGCCTCAGGTGCCACTCTCCCAACACTGAGAAGTCCCAGCCTTGGTCCTTAGGGAACCCAGGAATTGGGGGGCCCATAGCGCCTCCCCTCAGCTGTGGGGGCAGCTGAGCCAGGGGTCAGGCTGTAGTGGGGAGGCCAGAAGGGGCGGGGACAGCCGGGATTGGGAGGGGAGAACGGCAGCGTGGGCGGCTGGCAGAGGCAGGGAAAGACCAGCAGAGAGGAAAGAGAAACTGGGAGAGAGAGGAAGGGAGAAAGTGAGAAGGGAAATCGGAAAGAGAAAGGGGAGGAAATGGCAGACGTGGAGAGCCGGAGAGAGAGAGAAAGAGGAAGAGACTGGGTGTGAGGGAGGAAACAGGGTAACAGAGACAGAGAGAAAGAGAGACGGCGAATGAAGGAGAGACTTAAGGAAGAGACCCTGTGAGTCTGGCAATAAAAGGTTTGGACAGAAACAGATTGGAGAGAGAGAGAGAGAGAGAGAGAGAGAGAGAATGAGTGAGAGAGAGACTGGAAGAGATAGAGATCAGCAAGAGACACAGAAGGTGGGACAGGGGGAGAGAGAGAGTGTGTAAAGGAAGAGAGAGGAAGAGAGAGAGAGAAACAGAGAGGCCATAAGAGACAGGAGACAGACAAAAAGTGCGAGTGAGCAGGTGAAGAGAGAGATCTAGTGCGATGAGAGACGGCCGCTGAGAGACAGAGGCGGGAGACTGCCTGGGTGCCCCTTGCCCTGTCATCCGGACCACAGAGCTGGGTAAGTTCCCTGGCTGTGCTGGGAGGGGCTCTCTGGGTGCACATTCCTGGTGCCGCACGACTTGGCTTGGGGAGTTGGCAGGGATGGTTTGGGGGTGCGTGTGGGAGGGCGGGAGACAGGTAGCCGGGAGCAGCAGGAAGGAGGCAGGGAATGGGGAGTCCTTAAGCACAGAGAGGGTCAAATTCCTGTCCCAAGTCCAGTGGGCAGGAATAAAGGAGCCCCTATTCTCCGGCCCGGGCTGCAGACAGCTGCCCCCTCCCACAGCTGCCAGGGCCGCCTACCTCTCTTGGCACCACTCTTGGTATGTGGTCACGGGCCATGGCCTCCCCCAGCCCCCAAGTCCCAAAACAACAGTCTCTTTCTCCTCAGCCTCCTCCGACCTCCAAGCCCCTGACCCCATCTCTGTCCTGCACCCGTCACTGCAGAGACACAGCCCCTTTCTTTCTCTCTTTCAGCCCTCGATGGAGGGGAGCCGACCTCGCAGCAGCCTGAGCCTGGCCAGCAGCGCTTCCACCATCTCCTCACTCAGCAGCCTGAGCCCCAAGGTTCGAGCTTCCTGGCGTGGATGGGGAGGAAAGTGGGGCTCCGGGTCGCCCATCCCTCTCTTTCCCCAAGGACTCTGGTTAAGGACAAGGATCCTTAGCAACGGGGTCTGCCAGACATAGCAAGGTCCCGAATTGCCTACCAGCCACAGCTAGGAATTCAGCGGCACTCCCAGCTCTGTCCCCACCCCTTGTATTTTCCTAATTCTAAACCAGAGTAACAACCTCCTTTGACCCTGGTTGCTAAGATAAAGCCACTCCCCAGCCATGAGGCCCCTCGAGTTCTCAGAAGTAGTGGCTGCTCTTGATTAGTGCTAGAACTTGCTGTTCTATCTCTCACCATCCAATCTACCCTCTAAAGAAATCCTGTAAGGAGGGCCAGGCACGGTGGCTCATGCCTGTAAATCCCAGCAATTTGGGGGGCCGAGGCGGGTGGATCATGAGGTCAGGAGTTCGAGACCAGCCTGGCCAACATGGTGAAACCCCATCTCTACTAAAAATACAAAAATTAACTGGACATGGGGGTGCGTGCCTGTAATCCCAGCTACTCAGGAGGCTGAGGCAGGAGAACCGCTTGAACCTGGGAGGCAGAGGTTGTGGTGAGCCGAGATCGCACCGTTGCACTCAAGCCTGGGCAACA